GGCATGGCAGACGGGAATCAGGAAACAGCTCTTTTCTCCCCCCAGGCACCAGTGCTGCTCCCCTACGACCCCCAACCTCACTCTAGGGGCTGAGCAGCTCCAGAGACTGGAGCTTCTGGGCACTAGTGGGCACCACATAGAAATATGAGACGTCAAAGGAACCTGGTTCAGACCAAAATCTCACAAACCCCAGTAAAAGGGCCAAATGAAAATGAACCAATCTTCCTGAAAGAGAGTTTAAAGTAAATATCATAAACATGCTCATGGAGGTACAGAAAAATATTCAAGAACTCAGGGATGAATTTAAGATGGAGATTCAATCATTAAATTCCATATCTGAAATGAAACATACAATGGAGGTATTTAAAAGGAGATTAGATGTAGTACAAGAGATGGTAAATGGAATAGTAATTAGAGAAGAGGAATACAAAGAAGCTGAGGCACAGAGAGAAAAAAGGATCTCTCAGAATGAAAGAATATTGAGAGAACTGTGTGACCATTCCAAATGAAACAATATATGCATTATAGAGATACCAGAAGGGAGAGAAAAAGGGATAGAAAGTGTCTTTGAGGAGGTAATTGCTGAAAACTTCCCCAATCTGGGGAAGGAGATAGCCTATCAAGCCATGGAGGTACACAGATCTGCCAACACAAGGGACCCAAGGAAGACATCAAGACAATAATTAAAATGTCAAAGATGAAGGATAAAGACAGACTTTTAAAAGCAGACAGAGAGAGAAAAAAGATCACATACAAAGGAAAACCCATCAGGCTATCATCAGATTTCTCAATAGAAACCTTACAGTGCACAAGGGAGGGGCAGGATGTATTTAGTGCAATGAAGCAGAAGGTCCTCAAACCAAGAAGACTCCACCTGGCAAGGTTAACATAAATTTGAGGGAAGGATTAAACAATTTACAGATAAGCAAAAGTTGAGAAAATGTGCCTCCTACAAACCACCTCTATAGTGCATTTTGGAGGGACTGCTATAGATGGAAGTATTCCTAGGCTAAATACATGCACAAGGGGAAATAAAACCACAGAAAAGTAGAACAATTAATTACTAAGCAGATGTAAAATCAAATCAACTACCTCCGAAGTCAATCAAGGTGTAGACAAAGTACAGAATATGATACCTATTATATAAAGAATAGAGGATGAAGAAAAAGGGGGGGGGAAAAGAACCTTCAGGTTGTGTTTGTAATACCACACAAACTGAGTTAAATTAGACTGTTAGATAGTAAGGGAATTACCCTGAACCTTTGGTAACCATGAACCTAAGGCGTGCAATGGCAATAAGTACATACCTATCGATAATCACCCTAAATGTAAATGGTCTGACTGCACCAATCAAAAGATGTAGTAGTCAATGAATGGATAAAAAAACACGAACCATCTATATGCTGCCTACAAGAGACTCACTTCAAACCCAAAGACATACACAGACTGAAAAGTAAAGGAGTGGAAAAAGAAATTTCATGCAACTCATAGTGAGAAAAAAGCAGGAGTTGCAGTACTTGTATGAGACAAATTAGACTTCAAAACAAAGAAAATAAGAGACAAAGAAGGACATTACATAATGATAAAGGGGTCAATCCAACAAGAGGATATAACCATTCTAAATATCTATGCACCCAACACAGGATCACCTACATATGTGAAACAAATACTAACAGAAATAAAGGGGGAAATAGAATGCAATGCATTCATTTTAGGAGACTTCAACACACCATTCACTCAAAAGGACAGATCAACCAGACAGAAAATAAAGAGACAGAGGCACTGAACAACATATTAGAACAGATGGACCTAACGGACATCTATGGAACAATTTATCCAATAGCAATAGGATACACATTTTTCTCAAGTGCACATGGAACATTTTCAAGAATAGATCACATACTAAGCCACAAAAAGAGCCTCAGTAAATTCAAAATATTGAAATTGTACCAGCCAGCTTCTCAGATCACAAAGGTATGAAACTAGAAATAAATTACTCAAAGAAAATGAAAAAGCCCACAAACACATGGAAAATTAATAACATGCTCCTAAATAATCAATGGATCAATGACCAAATAAAAACAGAGATCAAGCAATATATGGGGACAAATGACAATAATAATTCAACACTGCAAAATCTGTGGGACACAGTGAAGGCCCTGCTAGGAGGGAAGTATATTGCAATACAGGCCTACCTCAGGAAAGAAAAACAATCCCAAATGAACAGTCTAAACTCACAATGAATGAAACGAGAAAAGGAAGAACAAATGAGGCCCAAAGTCAGTAGAACAAGGGACATAATAAAGATTAGAGCAGCAATAAATAAATTTGAGAAGAATAAAACAATAGAAAGAATGAATGGAAGCAGGGCTGGTTCTTTGCGAAAATAAAGATAAACCCATCGCCAAACTTATCAAGGAAAAAAGAGAGTCTGCACACATGTACAGAATCAGAAATGAGAAAGGAAAAATCACTACAGACAGCACAGAAATGCAAAGAATTATGAGAGAATACTATGAAAAAGTATATGTTAACAAACTGGATAACCTAGAAGAAACGGACAACTTTGTAGAAAAATACAACCTTCCAAGTCTGACCCAGGAAGAAACAGAAATCTGAATAGACCAATTGCCAGGAATGAAATTGAATTGGTTATCAAAAAACTACCTAAGAACAGGCACATGAAAAGATACTCCACATCGCTAATCATCAGAGAAATGCAAGTTAAAACTGCAATTAGATATCACGTCACACCTTTTCGGATGCCGGGGCCCAGTTTGAAAAAGACTTATGCACCCCTATGTTACTGCAGCTCTATTTTACAATAGCCAGGAAATGGAAATAACCTAAGTGTCCATCAGTTGATGAATGGATAAAGAAAATGTGGTACATATACAGAATGGAATATTATTCAGCCATAAGAAGAAAACAAATCCTACCATTTGCAACAAGATGGGTGGAGCTAGAGGGTATTATGCTCAGTGAAATAAGTGAGGTGGAGAAAGACTAGTATCAGATGATTTCACTCATCTGTGGAGTATAAGAATAAAGCAAAAACTGAAGGAACAGAACAGCTACAGACTCACAGAACCCAGTAATGGACTAACGGTTACCAAAGGGCTACATTTTGGGGATAATGGGTGGGAAGTGAGGGATAAGGGGGGAAAAAGGGACATTATGATTAGCATGTATAATATAGGGATAGGGGACACAGGGAAGGCACTACAACACAGAGAAGACAAGTAGTGATCTATAGCATCTTACTACACTGATGGACAGTGACTGTAATGGGGTATATGGTGGGGACCTGATAATAGGGGGAGTATAGTAATCATAATGTTCATGTAATTGTCCATTTATGATAGCAAAATAAAAAAATTAAAAAAATA